CTATCAGTGCTCATGTCCAAAAGATTTGGTACTCGAAAACAGCAGATACCTTACCTTGTAGAAAACCGCAGATACCTTGTACAAATTTCCAAATTTTAGAAACCAAAAAGCTAGTTTCAACTAAACATTGAGGCCACGTGAAAGTGGACGTGAAAGTGGACGTAAAATTTAGTTGAAGATCAAAAACAGCCGAAAAGTTGAGAAAACGGGTAATATCCGAATGCGGGCGACGTTCTGTTTTTACAAATATTGAACATGAACACATAGTGTTTGATCATTCGAATGAAAATACGAGTCTGGCTCATCTTATTATCAATCCTGCAGCGAGTTCTTGAAATTTTCCAATACTTCAGCCAAATATAGGTGAATACTTATCAATATAACATAGCATCAACCAAACTTTCCGATCAAAATTTTAAACGACCTAAATTTCCGTGTTTACTAAAACACTTTGATGTAGGTTTGATGGGATCTAAATTATATAAGGCATCATATTTATTGCGAGAAAAAACTGGAACTATCATCAAAAGTATATTTTTTGTACTTTCAGATAAAAATTCCAAGGGCTTAGAGAAAACATCATAAAAAGCGCAAAAGTGACCATCCGCGAAAGGTAGTTGGAGTGACCGGAAATATCCTTGTAACTTGAGAAAATAATTTATTTATCTTGCAAATATTTTGGCTATATGTGTTGCAGACATGATATTGCATAGATTCTTATTGTAAGCAGATAAATTGTAATATTTATATCATATATGTACATTTCATTCTATTTGATCACACTTTTACCAAAAATAAATATTTTCGTTTTTTTTACCTCATTCTTTAATGCGTGGAAAAGATTATCTTCACTTTTTACATGCGGACATCAAATATAACCAATCACAAGACGTTGAATTCATATGCGAATGCAACATTTCAAGAAGTCAACAAACCCATATATCATTTCTAATTCCAACTCGATATCAATTTAGATCGCGTAATCCCGAGCGTCGTCTGCGAGTTTGAAATATCAAACTTTAAAATAGAAGGATAAGCACACCAATTGTAAGAAGGCATCGACTCCGACGCCTCTAATAAGATACTATTTTTCGTCTCGTCACAAAGACTGCATAATCTAACGAAGTTTTCGAAAGTAGAATGAACCTTCAGTTTTATGAATAAATTAAAGCTGTTTAAATAATAAGTCAAGATTAAGATTTATTCAATTAAGTTTAACAGTAATCAAATTTCGCAAAACTATAATATCCATGCGATCAGCGCAATAAATATCAAACGAAATAAAAATGACCTAGCTTCAAAATAAATAGGTGCAACTACTAACAACTATCGAGTAAATGATATTCCTACCTTCTTGATTAAGTCATTTTATGCCTGTGTTTATATTAACTTCATTTATGGCATTATAAAAATAAACAGTGCAAGATAAATTATTTTAAAAACAATCAAATAAAGTTTCATATTAACAAGATTGGTTATGACTTATGAGACATCGTGTGATAGTTCATATTCTCTATAGATAATGGTGTGAAATATTCTAATTTGAACGGAGTTCATACGAAAGAACATAGTAAGAGATCATTTCTCGTTTTACGAAAAAAACATAACGTAACTCGTAAGTCGGTATCCAAAAACTTGATTGACGTTGAGAAAATGAATGGTTTTGCATTTCAAGGAATGCATAAAAAGCCAGGAACTTTCAATACACATAAAACACTATCGCATGCATACTTAAACAATTTGGAGTGTGCCAAGGCATTCCAAATATGACTCTCCTTCGTTTTCTACAAAGCTTCTTGTGTAAAAATTCCTTTAATTATTAATATCGTGGAATTTGTTAGCAAAACATGAAGCATTACTAAATTGAAACCACTGCGAACCGTGTTACGATATTACCATATATGTGGCAAACTTCCAATATTTAATTGCAATTACGAAGTCAATTCACTGTCATAATTAGTTTCGTATTTGAGCATACATTTAAAGTTTTATGAATGAGAATAAGTTTATCGGCGTTCACATTTGTTTTCATATGATGAAAATTAGCTTTCAAATCAAATGAAGTTTTGATGTTTCTCAAAAATACCTAAGAAAACATAAACAAAGCATAAACTTCGATTGAACTTTTAAATTGGTCATGAATATTATCGTAGTTCCACAAAAGTTGATCGAAAACTGCAAAATCACGGAGATCATTTGCTTCGAAGATATCGAGGTCAACAACAGGTCGAATCGGGATGTTGGCCAGTGGACATCGAGGTTTTCAACTTTTCACTTCATTATCCTGGTTTTTACCTGCGTATGAACCCTTGTTGACCGCGATACAATACTAAAGCATGGTACATAATATCTAATCCCAACTAAACCGAAGCAAACGAATTTCTATAAAAAGCTAATCATTGTGCGTGCAGATGACACGTTTCTCGGATTTGTGAAATAGTAATAAATATTATGGAGACTTCGGAAATGGTTTCAAGTCTTGCCAGCAATAACGATAATACATAGTGATTGAACAAATTTTTTGAATTCGGTCCAGATGACGATACGTGACAATTCGCAGTGCGCAACTCCTTAATTAAGTTTAAACGTACATTATGATTATGACGCAATAAAATTAAGATTTAATAATCGAACGTTTTGATGAGAGGTTAATAGTGCATTTCCATACTTATAAAAGTAAACGCAAAATTTGGTACAAATTGCATGTATAACAATTAAAACGAAGCATATATTAATACAGACCTCGCAAATGAAACTCCTACCGTGCATTTTTCTTGTAGAGTCAAGGCAGACCAATAGGACGGTAATTTTGTTTTAAATAAAAAAAAATTATACAAAGTTGCAAGAGAATATTTCTTTTTTTTTGATTATTCATTTTATCTTGTGGGATAACTGCAAAAAATGTTTCTCTTTGGATTAGATAGTTGGTATATCACGGATACTCCTTCCGTACGAACGCAAATTGAATGAATGTCCAGCATGCAGTTGCAAGTGCTTATCAGCAGATATAACAAATTTTTTCGTGAATGATTTTAAACAAATATATAATTCCATAAAACAGACTTTTAGTTTTAATAGATGTTTTCATTAAATGGAACAAAACTAATTGCAAAATGTAAAAAAGGAGGTTTTGAAAAACAGTGCCAATGATAAGATGCCAGGAAGGATTAAAATAGTACATAAACGTAATATGAACTATTTGCCGAGATTGGAATTCGGGTAGATTCTGGTTCAAAAGTTCAACAAAAATAGCTACTCATTTATATGAAAATATGAAGGTCACGATAGGGACAATAAATTACGGACATGCCACTTTTGAAAACTTCATTTGATGTGAATAAAAATGTCATCTATTTGAGAGTTCAATTTAAACGGTATTTATGTTCGAATAATAAATCTTACCAATAATAATTTTTTTTTAGATATGAATTAATGCGATAATTCAATTAACGATAAGGCAAGAATTGCCTTCATGCAGATGTTTTATACAGATCGTTCCACCAAAAAAATAAAAGTTTAATAGACTGAAATATGTGCCAAATTCTCTTTTTTATATATATTTTTTTTTTTTTACATTTTCAAAGAAAACTCAATTTTCACTTGTTTTCGGCATGTCATAGACATTGCCATTGATAATAAATCAAATCGCTGCCTGTGAAATCTTGTCACGTGACTCGGTGTTCCCTTACATAATATATGGATCGATATTTTCCAAGTCGATTGGATTTAATTCTTCCAATTGACCTGGCCTATATGAGTAACAGACTGATCAAATGTTTTTTGTCTAAGAACAAACGGAATTGTGTATTGCCTATAGCTATAGCCCATGACTAGATCACCAATCCCATAGACGCAATTTATTGCGACACGGCCCTTGGTGACCTTTATGTTCACATACACCATTATATTTATGATGTTTCAATTTCAGAGAAAATTCATTGTATTATAATGGCAAACTCTGAAGTGTCATCAATTTATTTTTTCAAATTGTATCACGTTTCTTGAATAGTATTTATCAACGTCAATAACCAGGAAACCTAGGTGGAAGTGTAGTAATAATAATTTTGGCACAATGAAGCCTGGTGCAAGCGCAAATGTCTTCCATGCAATGTTGAAGAGGTTATTTGTCAAATATTACAGGCCTAGTATTATGAAAACTTTGCTTCGTGAATTCAATATATTTTTAGAAATGACCGCGTCCTTTGGGAGTGATTGGTATTATCAATTGTTGAGCGAATTACAAGCTAAAAAAAGACTTTCGTTTTCAACATTCTTTCAAAGACACTATCACGTTCACAATATATGATAAATGTCATTAATTGTTTACTCTTTTGAATGAAAATTCTATAAAAATCAAATAGCCGGGCTATTTTACTAGATGTGTGTGAAACTACCGTCACGATTGCGATGGGATACAACATATTCTTCAATGCAAAACTTCCAATTTCATAGTAGTTGAATGTATTCAAATGCATTTTGCAATTTTGGTACTTGAATGGCTAAATTACTGAAAGCCTTTATGAGTTTATTTTGTGTGCCAGTCATTGGGTCATATGTGAATTTTTTACGTTTAAAGACGCTGAAATTCACTTTCAAGTGAGTCAGATTCTATTATATAATTTGTTTCAAAATATTTTATTTTATTAATATTTCACAAATACTAAACAAATTATATGAACTAACAAGGCTAGGTTGCGTGGAACGTCAGAGCATACGAACTGTTATCTCTATTTCCGTGATAAATGACCTGTGAACGTATGCTTTTCACTCTATTTTACTTATAATTAACAAACCGCGCAACATTTTAAATAATTAGTTTTAAAATCGCGTTCTTCACACAATTCTAGTCTAAACGGATGATAAATCGAGTGACCTACTGTCTTATTGTTGAACCACTGACCTTTTTATGATTTTATAAAATAATGCGTCGTTAAAAACAGAATACTATAATCGATGGCCTTTCCGTCTATAAAAGCGAACACGCAATGTGAGGATCGTGTATAATTCAAATACCAACATGACGAAACAACTTATCAGATCATATGAAGGAAAGGAGCTGGCGTTGGACTATCTCAAATATCGTCCTTCGTATCCACACCGAATATCAGAAACTATTATGAAATATGTGAGGTCGAACTTGCCGAATAACTCGAACGATAAATTGGAGAATATGCTAGATATTGGGTGCGGAAGTGGACAAGCTACTACACTTTTTGCCTCTTATTTCAAGTCCGTAGTGGGAACAGATATTAGTAGTCAGCAAATTGAAGTAGCAAATGAAAATAACAATCACCAAAATATTGAATATCTGGTGGTAAGTGATGGAAAATTTCCTGTTGAAGACGAAAGCGTAGATTTTGTGAATTGTGCCACAGCTGCGCATTGGTTAAACATTCCCGAATTTGAGTCCGAGTGCCAAAGAGTTTTGAAACCAAATGGCTCAGTTGCTATTTATGCCTACTTGCAAAAGCATATAATGGATGCAGATTCAGGCGAGAACTTGAGCCTGGGAGACAAATATCGTGGAGCTGTAATGGAATTTTTTATTACAATCAAGGCGCACCCCAACAATTTCATATTAGTGCAAAAATATCAGCCGATATTTGAACAAATGGTTAATCCAACAAAAAAATGGATTGAAGACATCACTTTCAACAAGTACAGTACATTCGAAACTTTTCTCGGATTTTGGGCGACTATTGGGGAATATCAAGCCTTGATGCGAGATGGAAAGCCCAAAGTAGACCCTCTGGAAGAGCTTAGAAAAAGTTGAAAGAAGCATGGGGATATGAAAATTGTAAAGACAGCGATATACGTCTAAAAGTGACATATGAAGTATTTATGATAGTGAGCACCAAAACGTCGAGTTAATCTGAGTTGGTATTATAACGAGAGAAGTGCTTTGTTTTCCCGTATTAAAATTTAGTGCGTTCATAAGTATCCCCCTAAAAGGCATTTCAATTTAACATATTTTCAATTTGATCAATACTTACATCTTTATAAACAATTTTAGATATATGTTGATAGGGATATTTATCACCATGGTATTTGTATGAACTATTGGCTATTGTGCCAGACGATGTGTTCCATATTTGATTTATGAAGGTACTGTTTTTAGAATAACTTTTTATTACTTCATTTACTCGCATTTAAAATTACTATTATTATGATTTTCCGTTTTCAGTGTTTATATTTTCATATTTTATGGACATTCCTATTTTTACTAACGTCGTGAGTGTAAATAGAAAATCATTACATTAACAGTATCAAACCATAAAGTATGCAGAGATTTCCACAGATCGTTAATGACCTGGTAATTACTATGGAACTGTTCTTGTTTTTGTGTAGTGTATGGCAATTTATATAGGAGTATAAATACCGGAAGATGCTACAAAGTGTTAAATATTTGCATAAATGTACATTATTTATGTTCCTCTTAATAATATTCCTCAAATGTAATTTTTGTTTCAGTTTTCAATTTTGGTAATATTTTGCCGAATTTAAACAATTATCAGCAGAAATACCGCGAAGCATATTCATTAAATATACTATATACTTTCTACTGCCACTGATCGAGTTAGTATCTTACTTGTCGCGACCCAAATTGCAATGTGTACATCAGTTTAGTAATAGCACGGCGGGCATTCAGTTTTAGTAAATTTAATTTGCTTATTATAAATTTAAAGCAGCGTCATTTCTTAATGAGTTTGGCTCATTAATAACATATGTACAGAACTTATGGCATTTACTTGGAATGCAGTATAAAACAATTTACATACATCCCAAACCGACACAATCGTTCGAAAAAATAACTATATTATATATCAGAAACAGGTAGAAATTCAGAAAAGTGTATTGCTGATTGTTCCACTAACAAACAACTCATTGAGTATCATCTTTGCAACTAAAAATTGTATTGTCCGATACTTAGTTATATATACGTAGCATAAGATATAACGACAAATTTGATAGCGATCGATGAGCTCAAAAAATGTCAAACTATAGTTTCGGAATACCGAGATTAATATGTAATGCCCTTTGTAATTTATCCCTATGTAATTATGAATTGTCTAGTACAGGACAAGGTGGCATTGGTTAGAAACCAATATTGTCACGATTCAAACAATATGTCTGCAATCACAGACAAAAGAGATCAATAAAGTTCATTTGTGGATAAGTGGAAATAACCCCTTCGCATAATTGTTTGTTATTAATAGCAAGTATACCTTAATAGTTTAAGAAAATTCGGAATTAGTCAGTAGAAGTGTCAATTCCATACCAAAACGTGAATGTAAGGACATTCACAAAAGCAAAAAAAATATTATAAGTACATTATACTAAAACAAATATTTTCCGAACATTTTCAGACATACAGGGTGTTGAAAAAGTAACTCAAAATTAACAGAAGTTACGATGAAATGCTACTTGAAATTTACCGACTGACACCTCTAACAGTATTGAATTACGGTGAAATGCCATTTAAACATTTCACAACAGCCGTTTTTTAACAGTTACTATTTTAACGTTGCCATGACGAAAAACTTTACTTCAATTTTGTGTAACTTTTTAACCTGTATGTCTAAAATGTTGTGCGGTGTTCGAGATTAGAGCATAAAGCGACCAGATTCCCGCGCAATGGATATTCTCCGACTATTTTAATATTTTGAGAGTATTTTCGCAACTTGCCGCGTATAAACTGGTCTACTTTTTTAACCTCGTTATTTTTTCTCAAAATATTCAACCATTTTCAATAAAATAGACAGTCAATTCCAAAGGCTCAGTTTATTTCGTTTCCCAGGCCTTAAATTTTTGGGAACACAGTACTGAGTCTTTAATCTCAACATAAGCTGAATGATTGGGATTTCTTGGGACAGCAGGGAAAGGGAATTTGTTGAATACATCGGCAAATCTGCCGTACCGGAGTCAATTCAATGCATTTTCAGGATGCAAATTGAAATCTAACCCAGTGGCGGACACTTTCCATAATTTGGGGGGGGGGCGAACTTGGATCGCCTACCGAAAAACACCGCGCTGTGTATCGTCACGTACCAATAACCTGCCGATGTCATTCTCTGAGCATTAGAATGTCATTTTGCTACTCATATATCGCGACATAGGCTGCTTCGCTTGGACACGGAACTACTTGCGCGTCACTGAACCAATTTCTTGAATTCCGGGAGAATTAGCCCACGGCTCTTTCTAACAAACAGAAACGACAAATTTGAGGAGTCGTATTGCATAAAGCGCACTAACGCTGTTTCGTAAAATTAGAAATGCAAAACAAGGTAACTAGCTATTGTGCGAATTTTTTCAAAAAAATGTAACCAGGGAATTATCATTTGACTAGTAAAATTGCCATTATTGTCGATTTATTAAATCACATTTGAACTCGAAATAACATTCAGGATTCACGCAAAGACTTTGCAGGGTTTTTATTCATAATTTAACACGAAAATAAACAGGCACAAGTTCAGGCACAAGATTTTCAAAAAAAAGGGGGGGGGGGGTCAAAATTCCCCTCGGAAATCGGTCGGAAATTCCCATCGCCATCTGTAACAGTCACCGCGATTACGCTCGTTGAAAGTCGCCTTCTTAAGCGTTTAATGATTTCTGTCGGGTAAAATATCCAATCCATGACAGCCACGAGATTCTTAAATGTCCTTATATATTAATTTAATTGTGTGCAACAACTCGCGGTTGCGACTTCTTACGTCCAAACAAAAATATTACGACACTAAAATACCACGGCGATCTGTAGACATAAAAATATAGATAAGCTGCCTGATGTATTTAATTTTATCACGTACTCGTTATCGAACTCGTTATCGCAGTTACAAAAGTCTCGATATCTGATATAAAATCCCGTATAGTACAATTTTACTTCATACAATGAAAATACTTATAAAGTATACTAGTAAATTAAAAATACAAATTCAACGCCCCGAAATCCACGCCGAACAGTCGCCGCAATTACGCCACTTGTTGAAAGAGCCGACTTTTTCAATGAAAAATGATTATTCACTTGTGCAAAGTAATCAATCAAAGACCGATACCGGCATATTTAAAATGTCTTATTTATTAATTTAATTGTCTTCAATTTAAACTGCGTTGTGTCGACAAAACAAGAGCCACACTAAAACACCACGACAATCCGCGGACATAAAAATGTGTGGTAAACTGCCCGTTTATATATTGTTCTGATCCGTATTTTTGCTATTTTGCGAATTCGATAAATTTGAGATGTACTTGTAACACTGACTCCGCTTAATCGCAATGTTGCCATTCCGATTATTTTTAAAGATAAAACCATTCGAAAAATCGTAAATATTCTGTCAATTCTCACGGAGTAAAATTTATTTCAGTACAACAAAAATTGATCGAATATACTTTAAATATCTTATATATCATCACAAACCGGGAAAAAGTCGCGTTCTCAGCCTTGTTCAATGTTAACACGAAAATTTTCGACGTCAATTTGTAATGGATAAAAAGGCAAATCCCGCCCAATTAACCGTGTTTCGATTTTAGTGACAAAATATTTTTAAAGGCTAACCAAATAATGTCTGCCGCAGGCACACGAAATTTTGCGATTTTCGATGCCTAAAAAAGCGTTTTTAGACTGTCGCGGGCCTCAACAAAACTTATATTGTTTACGGTTTTATTTTTAGTATTTTATATTGCCGCCTTTCAATCAAAAAATACAGGTCTCGATTTTACTCCTTCATTTGTCTTTAGAATCTCACCGCCGATGAACTTAAAGAATTCTCGCCGGGCTCATAATTTCGTGCTAGTACAAAAATAAAATATTATCATAGTCATCGTGTCACAAATTTGTGGAAAATTTGTGATTTAGAGAGAATAAACGCCAACGTAAAGGCGTTTACGGCTAAATAACAGGTCACAATGATGGAAACAATTGGCGATTTCAGCAAAAGGCAATTGCACGTGTTATTGGCGACTTATTCGGTTTTCAAAAAAAATTCAAAAGAGGGGGGTATCTTTTTTAGATAGTTCCTGTGGCCACTAGCGTATACGCTACGCTACGTTATTCGACATGTAAATGCTTTGATATTTGCCCGCAAATTATGCTGGGCCTTACACGAAATCCATACGTTAAAATATACGTCCAGCGGTGAAAATTGTTTATACCAAGTTTAAATCTATTTAATGTTTTAGCGATAATAATTAATTGTTGTAAATGTAATGAAATACAGTTTGCCTCTTTCACTTCTCTCGCAAGTGCCAACAATAACACTATTGAAAGATTTTGACAATGAGAAAACCATATTAAATTGTACAAAAATGAATTAGTTGTGCAAGACCGTGGCGTGTGATCGTCGGTGCGTTTGAAGAAGGAGTACTACCCGTGCGGGCGCGCATGTTTCACAAAAATGTGAGGTGCTCCGAAGGCGCGCTGGTCCACTTGACGTCAGATCATATTGGAAGATATTCTGAACTTGGATAATTATTACATAGACTGCCGGTACGCTACACATCTAACAAGAACGCTATTGTTGCACCATAGTTACATGATGTTCAAAGTATGTAGATATTGATCGAGAGTAAGTACTACAAACTAGAGCTGTTATTCAGCTTTTCGTGTTACGAGTATTTCGTGTTGTTTTTTAATTTTGTTAATTGGGTTCCATAAAAAGCGAAAAATTATATCAGGGGTTCCACAATAACAAAAAGGTTGAAGATCACTGCCCTAAGACCCAAATATAAGGTTACACAAATCATGCTTGAGAAGACTCATGCGAATAATAAGCAGGCCACATAGAAAAAACAAAATAAACATACTTCTCAAATGTGTCACAACACTATGCGACGTACGGTCGCACAGAATATAAACAATCAAAGTGCCGATTCTATTTCATCGTCATTAGCCTACAATACGTGAGACAGCGTAAAAAGTCGTTTGAAGATTCCCGTAAAACGAAACACCACGTTTACGGCGAAAAGTGGCTACTATTCGGAATTATTCCAAAATCAGCCGAAAGGGAATTCGAATACTTTGATATTCGATTCGTTTTGGACAACCCTGGGTGAGAGTTACACTTCTTAGCAGCATTAAAACTTTTTTGAGCATCAGTATTCCTACAAAAAGTAACATCTTCCCGTAAAAAACGTCTTATTGGTTTGACAATAATAGGAAAAGCATGACAAAATTTGGAACAATATCCAATCAAACCAAAAAAGAACGTAAAGAAGTAGCACCCATGAAGGGAGGGAGCGTATAGCATTAGACAATTTAGGGTGTGGCATTAAACCCTGAGCAGTAACTACACGTCCAAAAAAAAAATATTTTATCAATATCAAACCCACATTTATCATTTAATTTGAAAGCTTCAAATGTCGATCAAGAATTTTATGTAAATTATCATCTGGTTCTTGTTTGGGACGCCCCCAAATTACAATATCATCAAGTATAGCCTACATTTAACACCTTCAAGAACAGATACCATTATCTTTTGAAAGGCACTAGGAACAGTGGCTATATTTTTATTGCCTACTTTTTGCTACCGCCCGTGACTCACGTTGGTGTAAATTTGGTTTTAGAGATCTTAAACATCTTTCCGAGCGTGCCAGGGATCATCAATCTTCTATGGAGCATCTGGACAATGCAGTAAAATACCGAACATTCGGAAATGTTAATATTGCAGCACAGTTGGATGAAGGACGCGCGGTTTCTATTCGTCGGCACAACCAAAACGTCGAGAAAAACCGCCATGTTCTCGGTCGATTGATAGATGTTTTGAAGTTCATTGGTTGTCACGAGCTGTCCCTCCGTGGGCACGATGAACGGGCTGGCTCTTCTAATAGAGGGGTATTTTTGGATATGGTGGAATACACCGCATCCCTAGATACAGTATTGAGAGATCATCTTGATGCCGCAACTGTTTCGAAAGGGACATCTAAGGATATCCAAAATGATTTGCTCGACTCAATGTATAAAATTTATTTACAACATTTGGCTCTGGAAATTGAGAATTGCCAGTTCCTTTCGATTCAGTCTGACGAGACAACTGACATCACGTGCGTTTCCCAACTGGCTGTGATTTTTCGGTTTGTGAAAGATGGTAAACCTACCGAGAGATTTTACAGCTTTGTACCAATCGTTGATCGCACGGCTTGCGGGATATCGGCTGTACTGAAAGAAGTGTTACAGCCTTACAACGCGAAGTCAAAATTGATAGCTCAAACTTATGACGGCGCGGCAGTCATCGAAACATGGTGTTCAAGTTTATATAAAAGAAGATTTTCCTCATGCGCATTTTTTACATTGTTATGCACACCAATTTAACCTCGTTATTAAAAATATGTGTCTTGTTTGCAAATGTTTCGGGGTTTTCTTCATTTTTTTCCGTTTCGCCGAAGCGCTCTGACCTCCTTTGCCAGATATGTAGCCGCCGTCTCCCAGCTTGTGCACCAACACGTTGGAACTTCCAATCACGCGTGGTGCAGGGCGTGTCCGAAATTAGGTCTGAGCTCATTGAGTGTTTCAATGGCATTCAGAGCTCTCCGGACGAACGCTCTGTGAGGGAGGCGGCAGGTCTAAAGCGTCTGCTAGAAGATGGTGAGTTTTCATTTTTTCTCGCTTTTTTCTCCACAATATTCTATCACGTGGATGTATTATACGGCGCATTGCAGTCAAGGCTAATGGATGGAGCGTCTGTGCAGTCGTGTATTTCAGACTTCTGCGATGCTGTATCTCGTATCCGGGAAACAATAAAATACGACGACACATGGAGTGCTTCTTTACGCCGCGGGCAAACAACGCAGCGTTTGATTTTGTCTGCAAAGGAATGCTGTGACATTCTGGTGAATCAAATAGGCGATCGTCTGCGCACTGAACACCTTGCCGCGTTCTCTTTGATGAACCCCAAAATTTTTCAAAATTTGCACGTCAATTTCCCATCCATTTGTTGGCTACTGTCTCCAAATTTTACCCCATGATAAACGTGGGTAAATTGGAAAATGAATTGCGATGTATATACACCAATCAAACTTTTTTGAACATCACATCAACTTGCGCGCTCTATGGGTTCCTCATAGATAACACTCTAGTAACTACCTTTGCGGCGTCTGCAAAATTTCTGGACATCATTTTGACGACGCCTATTTCTTCCGCCGACGCAGAGCGAACATTCAGCACGCTGAAGCGTATTAAAACGTATCTCAGAAACACAATGAAGCAAGATAGATTAAATTCCTTGGCTGTTTTATCCATTCACAGAGACGTTATTTCTGGGATGCATGACTTTAATCAGCGCGTTATTGAGCATTTTGCTTCCAAGAAACCGCGGCGTGTTGCATATATGTTCAAGCAGTAGAAGTCTAGCAGCATATATATCTATGAGTGAGCGACGCATGTCCTTATCTTTGCATTAACTTTCCTTTCTTCATAGTAACGTTTTAAACCTTATTTTAGGTTTTGTCTGCTTTCCCGAAGTTTCTGTTAATATGTCATTGTATTTATCTGGGTAAATATTGCCTTTCCTTTTGAAAGAGGTTTCAAAATAAACTATGTCTATATTTATTAATCCCTTGGCTTGGACCGGTTTCAAAGACACTTTCTTATCGTTAAAAATTGTCGCTTTTGCCGATTGGTTGTTACCGATGGAATGGTTTTTATACTCATAAAATGATGGGAGAACTTACAGCGCTCATCCTGTCCCCGTAGATGGGGGTGACTTGGTCCCGCAGTAGCTTGCCCCGGTTGTCAAAATGACCACGCGCCGCCACTGCCTTTGTCCTAATGCAAAATTACACAGACGAGCTCTCAGTTCTACGTCATTAACGGGACATACTAATTTGTGTTCGAATTCGGCAGGGTTGACTTCCGATTCGAATCTCACACAAACGTAATCCACTTTATGCAAGCGGAAGATGCCAAAAATTGTATAGAATAAAACTTTCCACAAGTTAAGCTTTGCCCACTGGAAGTACTTGTGGTACCAAACTATACTAGACCCCAATTTCTCTCGTTTCTCGTCACAACGATCACGATAGGAGAGAGATCGCCGGCTTTAGCAAGTTCGTCATCGGCGGCGCAGGTGATATTTCGGGCGATCGTAATTATACTTTGGCAATCCCTATGACGTGATGGTGACGTCGTAGTGACGTAATTTTTGGATGGCATAGTCCGGTGGGGGTTAGGAATAACATATGCAAAATTCGTTATGCTACGCCCATCGGAGGCACCTGTGGTACTAAACTATACTAGACCCTACCAAGGCATTCTGGCATAGTTCGTAAGCTTGGTACCGGTACGGAAAGTAATAGAAAGGTTTCATGATACCGGTATCCAACTGTTTCAGAAGCTCTTTGTCAAACCCCTAAACATCCTCCATCCGGGTCTCGTGTAGTTTCGTACCTAACGTACTTCTAGTAGGTGTAGCATAACAATTTTTTGACATGCCAATTGCCAATCCTAACCCTCACCTGACTACGCCATCCAAAAATTACGTCACAATCACGTCATAGAGCTTGCCAAATACTCTTACGATCGCCCGAAATAGCATCGGCGCTGACGATAAAGAACTGACTAACGTCAGCGATCTCTCTCCTATCGGGATCGTTGCGACGAGAAAACGAGAGAAATGGCTGTTCGATTTCGGGTTCTCGTCTGCGCGTCTTGGACGACAGTTCGCATAGTTTGAAGGGCTCTATTACGTCACTGTGACGTCGTAGTGACGTAATTTTTAGATGGTGGGGGTTAGGATTGACATGTGAAGAAATTGTTATGCTACGCCTACTAGAAGTACGTTAGGTACGAAACTACATGAGACCCCTCCATCCTGCCATCTGATTCCAGGGGTTCGATTAAACCCGGGTCACTGGGTTCAGAAACACTGCTTCAAGTGCTTCCGATACAGCGATAGCAGGATACAGGGATACGGTAGGGAGCCATCATAAATCTGTAAATGGCAGTTTCATGGTACCGTAATCGAATGGCTGAATGGGCCCTGCCAGATTGAGTTTTCGTAAGAAGTGACAAACGTCCCAATCCCAAGCAAATTAGGTATGCGGTCCTTGTTTTGATATCAAGGCAGATTGAGGAAACTAAGAAAATATTTTAAAATAATAATCCCCATATTTCTTTCTTTGACAACTTGGACGTGCTGCAGTTCAGCAGTTGCAGATTTAGATAATTCAGTTATTTTTCACCCCATCTGCTTGTCTTTTTTGCTGTTTTTCATGAACAAATTTTGTTGATCTTTCATGGGAATGTAGATCAATAGATGTTAATGACCACAGAATGTAATGAAAGCCTCTTGTTGAAATTGGGATGTAAGGTTCAATCATTTCCACCATACAGCCATAGTTCCGTAGTTCATTGTTTTGTTATAGTCTATCCTATTGCAGTATTGGATTGTCATAGAATCAGCCTTATTCATTCTCTTTTCGAGTGGGAGTGGTAACTCCTCTGCGGCCCATGGGCCGGGGCCACGGCCCATCGAATTGGGCCTCGGCCCATCGGGCTATGGGCCGCAGCCCATCTAGTTGTGTAAAGAAACTATTCACTTGGCTAACACAGACAGTCCCCGAACTCATAATAGAACTATAATGTAAAAAATCTGAATTTTTTTTGTCCTAACCCGTCCCTAACCTGGCACACACACTACAGGAGTATATTTTTTTGGTTCGAATATTGACAATTTGGTAAAAATTGAAAATTTTGTTAATATAATTGAATTTTGCCTGATGGGGCCACGGCCCATGTGGCCCAATTAGATGGGCCGTGGCCCCGGCCCATGGGCCGTAGAGGAGTCACCACTCCTGTAGCTCTTTTCACAAGATGGGATCGGTGGGGTACGGTAACTGTTTCATCAGACTGCAAGATAAGAAGAAAGCATTAACTTAAGTATTTTTTAGGGACTAATACTACAGGACTACAGGTTAAACCAAATGTACTAGTATGACTAACTGTGCCACCCTGTTCATAGGCAATACTATAATGTGATATAACAAATGTCAATATGGGGAATGGATCATCAAAATTACCATGGCATCGGGACAATGCAAAAAAGACCATGAAAGTCAAAGCTACCCATAGATCCAATAGCATGTCCGGTGCTGTAGATTCAGACAGAAGAGGATCAGGGATGCAAAGAGTATGTATACGTTTATACTCTAGTTTGGTCTAGTCCTTCCTCCTTTAACTTATCATTCAAGTTTTTTGTATATATTATATATGTGATATTAGGATTACGGTTAAGTATTACTGTTTTACAAATTCAATTAGTTCAATGTTTTATCAGAGCAAAGTTGGCTATGTGTGTGCAGTTTTTATCAATGCTGACAATTGTGTTTGTCTGAAAGAGTCTAGAATGAACTTTCATTTCACTATTACTGTATTAAGCATATACATTAATATATGCAAGTTACATATTATACATTGTTTTTCATTGTTCCTTACCAATCTTGCACGCTCCAATCAGGTCACACAGTACTACAGAGTTTTTGCTTTAGCCAATCGAAAATCTGAAAATTAGGATTATGGGGGAATTTCAATGTGAGACTTTAGAACCATTATTAAAGAATTCATAAATCAATCATTTTTTTCTATGTTTTGTGAATTTGGCACCATTCTAAGATTAGTCAGAAGACTCAGTTTTGCTAGGTTGTGAATATCAGCATAAGAATTGACGTCAGGCATTGAACAAATTTGTAATTGTATTCATCATCTCAAGATTTCGAAAATTTCCACCAATACCATTTTGTTGGGATTCATATATAAATTTCTAATCTTTAACTGAGGCCACTTTCGTCATTTTATTACAATAATAATGGATCTATTGCGTAGGTTGTAAAATGTTGTTTACTTTGGAGTATTATGACAACCAGGTATCTTTTTGTCTAGCTAACTTTTATATGCGTGTGGTTTCATATTCTTTATGGATCAGCAATAAGCCAGCATCAATGTATTTATTGAATATGATCAAACCTAAACTTGCTATACAAATATTGATTCATGATAAATTTCATTTGTTCAAATATGAAAAATCAAGCATGATTACTGATGATTCTTATCGCTAGGGTGTAATCTATTTAGGTCCATGTTTAGGAGTTTCATTATTCAACCACCCATTTTTGTTGTCAGTCCCTGTACTTGTACTGCTATGCTAAGTAATTTATATTAATTGATGTTTCTATTCTATTCCAAACAGACGTGAAATATCCTATTGTTAGTAGAGGAAATAACCATACACGCCTTATTCAAACTTAATATAAATTTTCTTTTGTTAAAAGGGGATATTTCACCCACCCTCTTCTGTGATTTTTATTATACCGAGGTTCATTGTACCGAAATATAGCCTATCAATAATTTTGTTAAAAATTTTAAAACTGTAGCTCTTGCCTTAACTACTAACTAAACTGAAAACCAAATGTCATTAGGATTAAAATGATACAGTTGAAATAACCTATTTCAGTATTGCATACTATGTTTCAGTTATCGTAAAATATTTGAAAACATAATTCTAATGGTTGCATTGTATATTAATCTATCAAAAGCAGTTAATTTGGTCTTACTCTGACAGCCTTATGTTTGTTGATAGTGCAGCACAGTAGTGTGCAATTTGAGGCTATTGCCAATTTGAAAAAATTGTTACGAGCGAGTACTTCCAATCCCTTTGCGTTGCAAAGCCTATACCAATATGATGTTACAATGCCCTAACAACCTAGCTTGTGCAAAACGAACACAACGCTTGTCATAAGATCAATAACCAAAATTTTTGTGTCTGTCACTAGTAGAAAACCTACCCATGTTTAATGAAGGTGCGACCCGCGGTTTCACCTAATTATTTGTATCTGGCCCTCTTGTATTAAAGGTTGCACACCCCTGGTGCAGCAGGGCACACTACCGTAATTTATATTTTTGTGAATAATATTCCTACTATACTATATTACTGATTGAAGCTTTTTTATCATCATTGTAGCTTGCCATAATTTTAGTGATTATTTTCGTTTCTCATTTCAATTGCACTTATTTACCATGCACAGTGCTGTATTGGCAAATTATTTTATTTATTCTTCATTCTTAGAGGTGACTTGACCAAATTCTATGCTACGCTATGATTTTGTGTTGTAATTTCATTTTTTTTTTTTAATAATTCTAATATTTGTTTTCAGGCCATGACAGATGGTGCTCTCCAGGTCAATTTTAAAGAGAGTTCATTTCTTGAATCTGTGGATCAAAATTCGAATGGAATATCATTTGATTTAAAAATAAATGACCTCAATGGTAACACAATGTCCAATGCAAGCAAGAATACAGATGGAAGCGGTTTGACTCTCCCTACTGTGCAACGAAAAAGTTCTGATATCAAGGTTTCTAAATACAGAGATACAATTTCTGATTTAGAATTGTACAATCTTATTATTGCTGAAACATGGCAAGGCCACCCTCAGATTCATGATACTGGATACTTGCTCTTGCTAGATTGCAGGTAACTTCCTAATTTAAATTATGGTTTTAATTAGTGGTAGGCACTTAGTATATTTATCGAAAATTCATTACGTACATGTTGAGGCGATACGCTTTATTAATAGAGTTCATATGACCATTCGCTCCAGCCGATTTAAATTAAAAACATATCTTTGGTTAGAAATTTTATTCGAATTTGTAAATCAATAACCACTAGAAATTAATGACTATTTTTTGGGGAATATAAATAGATCAGGAAATATTTTCACATTTCGAATATAGCATATAAGACAACTAAAGGTCTTAATTTCCAATCATAATGTTTTCTTTCTATTCATCTTATTCTCATGTTGTTGAAAATGTAACCTCTGTACTACATTTCTGTATAGCCTTCCTTTTTATTTTTGACTACTTGTCAAAATAATCTTCTTCAAATTCATACACTGCCAGATTGAACAATATATCAATGGTAAATTGAAATTTTTGTAGGGAAAAATCTGAGTACGAAGCTGCACATATCATCACGAGTCGCCATCATTCAGCTTTGTATTCAGAATATGGACTACTCATGCCAAGTCAACTCAAGCTTTTTCAGATTATTATTTTGTGAGTACATGAGCGACACGCCATCTTCATTTCACTTATATTTGTACATGAAATTGATCAATCTAGAAATAAAATGTCAATTTCTGACTGAATATTTTGTATTTTTTTTAATTATACTCAATTAGCATGCTGGAATGTTATAAATGAATTAAAACTCTTATAAAAAAAAAAAATTTTTTTGAATGTAAATAGGGTGCAACTAAGTTATTATATTATAAATCATTATTGTGATTAATTACAACATAACAATAGATTACTAAATAATGTTTTTATAGTTGTTTATTTACCTCATATTTATCAACTTTGTATGGTATTTGAATTTATTTTATTCTATAACTCCATTTTCGATTTTTTTTTTGAAGTATTCAACCCTTCTGTATGCATCATACTTTTCAAAGTTTCAATGAAATGTTTTAAAATAATCAGGTACAGCAATTCATCTTCCTGCAAAAATATTCTGGAGATAAGTAAGAAATTATCAGAAGATGAAGTTGAACATTTTCTTCTACAAAGCGGTTCATCACAATTTTTTGAAAAATATCCATTTTTATCTACTCAAGGACATTATTTAACCAGTGATATGAGAAACACATTACAGGTATATAGGTTTTTATCAAAACAGATAACAAAACATTCCATAGTCAGATATTTTATCAATTCTTCATTGGTTTATAAACATATTCGAATTCTGTATTGTATTTTCTTTTTCTTTCAATAGTTTTTGTCGCTGTTTTTAATGATGGCTAATTGGCTAATAATATTGAAAATTTGATTCTCCTATATTAAGATATATTCGAGTCTGTATTGTTATTGTTTTGTAACGAATTACCCTTCTGTTTTAGGCAAATCCATAGTTTCATAATTGTACATATCCCAAATAGTATAGCTCAGGGTGGTCCAAGGTTGCAAGATTGAAGGGCTGTATTGACAAGTACCGGTAACGACCTCTCAAACCGATCACAGGACGTCATTCCCATAGGCCTTGTTTTGACAGTTTCAATTACAACCTTGAAATTTTGTGATTTTAGCAAATATCATTCTCTACATTAGTCTTGCACGTAATTTACGGAATTACGGAATTATTTCGAGTTACGGAAGCGAAGTTACGAATTACGTAAATTCGTAATTATTGGTGGAGCGCTTTCGCGATTGAAACGAGCTCTCTTTAGAGCAGTCAATTCCGTCGACTGTAAAAAATTAAAGTTTAAAAAGTAGAAGAAGTTAGAGTTCCGGTATTCGCAGCCGTTTTTCTCTCTCTTGTTACGCAGATGGAGAAGGCATAACGCCTTGCCATTTACTAGCCTATTATCAACTTATCTAGCATGGCAAATGTACATATTAAGCGTAGATATGGGATAGAATTGTGTCGAGACCGATGGACGCCAACACACCTGGTTTCAACTTCTTCGGGTGAAATGACTAAAGAATGTAAGAGACAACTTACCAAACATGGTCTATTTGTAAATGCCGTGATAATTAATGTCGCGCTTATCAAACAGCAATATGACGACGGAAGAGAAATTGCGTAATGAACCAACGCAACTTAGTCTTTTCGGCATCGGTAAAGCGATTCAGACGGCAGAGAAACAACAAAAAGACGGGATTTCCCATGTTTATACTGCGCGAGAGCCATTTTCTCATTAAAATCTTGATGTTCTGTTACCGGTTTTATCGTTATATATCTGTCCGGACTTGGCCATGTTTTCACAATGCCTCGCACTATTTCGGCCAAATATGTTTTTACAATATCTTTAAGTCTTTACCAAATGCGGCAACTTATTTTGATTTATCGTCGACTCAAATACCACCGGCACTCGACCATACTTGTGTCGACTTGAGTTAGAAAAGTAAATTAATATTTTCGTGAGTGCAAAATAAATGTCACCAAATGCATTGTTTTGCGATATAACTTTGTATTTTCGGAGAAGGCATGTCATATAAGTACGGTATTTAAATTATGCGCAAAATATTAATATTTGATCTAAATTTATCGCAAATAATGTTATAACATTTAGGCCGCGAAATGATTTAATGTAAAATGAAGCATGGTAATCGGAATATCGTAAATAAGTCGGCATCAATAATTATTATAAAATGCTAACTAGGTAGTAAAGCCGGATAATGTAAAAAAACGGTACAATAACAAGTCTTCGTCGCGAGGCAAGCGCAAGTATAATCAAACGAGAGAATACGCTCGTCGTTGATTTATAAATTAGAAACCCGGAATTTTTATTTAATACGAAACTCGTATTAATACGTTAATATGATTTTAAAAAAGTCAACTATCGTTTCATAAATATATTACCACTTACCAGTGTTGGTAATGATAAAATTGATCACATAAAATTGGGTGATAAAGTTGATAAAGGAAAATCAAAGCTAACTAACACAAAAGATAAAAATCAGAATAAAATTAATTTGAATTCACTTATTGATATTTGTCTTTAGCATCTGTCGCCGGCGTGTAGTACTGGCGGAAATATGAAAACCAAACTGTCCCCAACTGTCGATGTCCCATCCGGAATAGAAGTGGATTAAATTGGTTGTTATGATAGGTTTAAAAGTGTGAAAAAAATATCGCAATTACGGGGTCATTACGTAATCGATTTAGCCGTAATTACGGAATTGATTTTTGTCAATTACGTGCAAGCCTACTCTACATTGGTATTAGGAGAATGGTTTGAATCTCGGGAACCCAACCCCCCAGCACGGGACGTGTTGCGGCCCGCGTGCTAGGGTTCGGACCACCTTGGTATAGCTGGTAACATGCTGTTTGAGTAAACATGATCTGTGCTAGATATCTGTAAAATTAAATTTGTACGCTTTGTTTAATAAATACCATTCTGTTCAGACCATGCCATCAGAAATTCTACCAGGACGATTATACCAGGGTAATGCAAAACATGCATTAGATTCATACATCATAACATCGCTGGGTAATTATCGAAGTTTTAATCATGTTACTCTTAATTTTAAAATATCCAAGTGGATCTATTTTGCAGCAGAATTTTGGTAAATAACGAACAATCACAAAATTTAGCATAAATCATGTTTTACATATAACATTGGTTAATTTCACAGAAGAGAAAAAATATTATCTACCTCAATCTTTTGAAGCTCAGAATAGGACCTATTTTGGTTTTGGTTTTCTGGACTTCTCTATTCAGTTTAGTCTAGGTATAAATATTTTTGATCTAAAGTAGGTACTTCATTGAAATAGACCCATTTTTTTCATCAAGATCTATGGATATTGAATAAGTTGACCAAATAAAAGAATTAAATCAGCTGTAAATCGATGTTTGTATACTAGGTGGCTTCGGAATGAATGCTTGCATTGCCTTCTTTAAATGAGTCCGTCATATACCTTCTATTTCAGGTATCACACATATTGTTAATGTCACTCTGGAACATCCAAACAGATTTGAAGATACTGTAAAATACTTGCGGATTCAACTTGATGATCGACCTCAAGTTGACCTTCACGCTTGGTTGCCAAGAACCAGTGAATTTGTGCAGTCAGCTATTGGTAGAGTGAGTATTAAAAGTCAAACAACTGAAAAACATGAAAATGGAAAAGACTCCGGTGACAATCGAACTCCTGGTGATGTGAGCAGTAAAAAAGAAGTAGTACTTGTTCACTGTAATTTAGGTAGAAGCCGCAGTTCCACTGTAGTTTTAGGATATCTGATGCAAGCGTGTAGGATGACTCTGAAAGATGCAAGTCGATTACTAAAAGACTGCAGACCAACTGTCCGCCCTAACATCGGTTTTCTTGAACAGTTACTGCAATATGAAAAAGAGGTGTTTGGTAAAAATGTATCTGATTTGAATGATCTGCCTTTTTAGATTATAAGTACAGTTTATTTAGGCTTCTGTTTAAAAGCCTTAATAAAATTTCATAACTATTCAAATTTATATAATTTTGTACAGCAAAGCAAAGCATTCTTGGTTTCACCACAAACATTGGTACCACAAAGGCCTTCCTGGTCTTCCTAAAGTGCTAAATTTTTGTTCGAATCAAAACTGAAAGAAATAACTTGTCATTCTTCAGAATTTGGAATCCATAAATCGAAGCTCAAAAATTTCATGTTCAAACCAAGGATTTTAAATAGCAGATACATTGTGTCAAATACTACATAGTTGGACTTGGACACACTCCATTGTAACAATATTTTTTATACCAATGCATAATGCGCACTCCTTATTCGGAAGACTAAATTTGACATTGGAAATTTGTATTATACATGAAGAAATACTCATTTTGAATCAGAAATTTTTCACTCATGCATACATAATATGTCCACTTTTTCAACAATTTTTTTTTATATTCATATCAGTAGTATCACTGTTAGCAATGTTTTTATTTGTTACTGTTTTGTTTTTTTCACTTTAGTTCCATTTGCACATGCAGTAATTTTTTTTTTATTCTTCAAAGAATATCACTTTATATACTTAGTGGACTTACTAGTGATCTTTATATATAGCAATATGTCTGTTGGTACGTTTTTTTATTTCCACCCATAATATCTTGGTCAATTTACATTTCAAAGTTTCGTCAGTAATGTGTCAACTCTATAAATAGCGTTTTGTTGATACATTCCGTATTTAATTTTAACCAATCCTTTTTCTTTTCCAAAATTTTTTTCCGTCTGGTCTGCAATCTTTCCTTCCATGTTATTTCTTTAATCTGCTTGTGTTCTGTTTTTGGCTCAAGTTGTTTTGTGCAGTTATTCAGTAACATAAATATTACGTATGTCATTCCAAAATGCTGAAGCACTAATACTAAATAATCTGGTTTTAGACTAGGTTATCACAGTAATCAATCTGCTATTTTTATGTTAATTTAAATTGCTTGGTGTTAATTTAGATTATGTTTCTAGAAATTGGAAGTAAACTCTAAAATTAAATAACATGGTAGTACATTTTTAGTACATATGTGATGGAAAGATGATAAGATGCCATAATAAAGCAGTAAATAGTACATACAAGTGTTTCTTTGCCAGTATGGATATGATAAAAAAAACATTTGTTTCAACTAGCTATAATGTAAAATGTACAATTCATGCCAAGTAGATTTATTTATTCAACAGAAAAACACGAAAAATCAGTTCTGGTATTTAAATTAGTATTTTTCTTGTGATTTTGCCGCTTTAAGAAGATCTTTGTCCTTGCTGATAAACCCATCATTGCATGACATATGAAACATCAGTTCAGCTTTAACGAGATTAAAGTTTAGTTTGTTTCTACTGTTGGTCCAAAGCGCATTCATAATACTGAACACTCTTTCACAATTAGCGTTTGACACTGGAATTGACAGGACAAATGACACAAGACGTAAGAGTTGTGTATCGCCTGGCTGCCGTATAAAAAAGAACTTCACCCATATATTTGAACGTTAAGCTTAAAATTTCAGTGCGAACCTTTTTCATCGCACATCTTCTCACAATTTACCGCAGTCAAAACTTAAGCCTGACCATTCAATGTCATTTTTCAAAGCAAGTGGGGTTATGAAAAACGAATGGTCATAATCGTACCATTTGTGTAAGTATGACAAACTACGTTGAAAGTTAGCCCAGCCCGGGACACGGGAAGCCAAACGTCAATTCCGGGACGGTTGGTAGCCCTATCCTCAAGGCGTCGACGCGCTGGGGGGTTCGAGCACCGAATTTCCGTTTTTTCACTAGAATTTCTTGGTCGACTAGCCAAAGAGATACCTCACGGAAAGAAAGATAAATCAGAAATATTTTACATATATACTAAACTTTTGAAACGATAGGCCTCTGATGTTTCCAAGTGTTTGGGTATTTGACAAACCAAACTTATCTTTTTAGTGTGTGCATTGATGGTGCTCCAGCCATGCTTGATTCTAACTCTTTGTTGGCTCCCCTGGCAAAGCAGAAAAGACGCAAATCCAGGTAACGCATGGCATGATTCGGAAAAACGGCACTGGTTTTTGAAACCACCTGGAAGAGACTTCACGGGCATTGGTCTATCGTGATAAAAGTCCTTAAATATTTAAAAAGCTTAGCGCTCAAAACTCACCTCTGCGGAAAGATTTGACAAGATATGGATGATGATCATAATGCACTTCTATATTACGATCAAGTTGGTCGGCTATCAAATGGAACGTGCTCTTCCGTTTTTCGAATAAGGCGATGAAGTAATGTTGGATTTGATTGTTCAATGAATGTTTTATTGTCATCATTTGGCGGAAACAGATATTCGTGGTTCTCATCTTGTTGGCATATTTGAATATTACATTAACTAAACATAAAAATGCAAACAGCAAACATAAAGTAACATAATTGTTCACACTGATGACATAAAGCTCATGCTAGGGAGACAATTTATTGTTTCGCCGCTTGGTGGAAATAATTGGAGGAGGTCCTGAAACAATTCAAGAAGAATTTATAGCATTAACAAAACTTATGCAAAGGATGAATTTTATAACTGGGTTAAAATGCAATCACATATATATCAGAATACATGCTCTGAATATTCAGATTCCGTTTTCTTCGTTTTCGTTACGGATAATTTACTACTTTACTAGACATTAAACAGCAAGTCAATCGAACAATTCGTTTTTTATTAGCCATTCAGGAAAACCACAATAAAATTAAAGCAAGAGAGATCACGAAATATTTGTATATATATATTAATGCTTCTGTGCCGGATGAACAGGATAACCGCCAGATGACCATTTGGTCTACTTGTCAGCGGCAACCTTAAAATAGCTTAAAGGAAATACAGATAGTAGCCTATTATATATTATTTATCTGTGTTAATTGTGTTCATTTTAGACAACCCTACCCTTTAGAAATGGAATATCATAAAATATGTTGAAACCACGATGACGTAGGCGCTACTCGTCAGTCGTCACACATGAAGCACAATAATGGCCAGTAAGAATTAACATCAGACCCTCAAAGGGTTTTTAGCACACAGTACGGTACCACGCTTTATATTTTTAAAATGTTGTAATGTAATTAGTTAGAATTGGGAAAATACGTTGAACATCGTTTTCACATCCAAACTTTTTAATTTATTAGGCATTTATTTATTTGCTATTTGTATTTATACGATGTCAAGTGGATAGGAGGAAAAAGTAGAAAAAAAAAACATAAAATTAAGGATTCCCTAAAATATAAAAGAAAATTTCCTATTTTTATGTTCCAAATATCTAAACTGTAAATTGGGCAGCTCGTAGAGCTGCATAAGTATGATGTACCGCGATTTATATATAGTGCGGCGGGGGAGGATGGCCCCCCATATTATTTATATTTTGAAAATTATCTATATTTCGAAACCTTTCTTCGAATATTCCTAAAACTTAGCCAGTACATACATAAAGGGCTAAACTCTTAGCCACGCCGGCGTCCGCCGTCGCCAACCATCGCAACAGCAGAAACGTTTTTATGCAAAAAAAAATTGAGGGGAAGTTGGACATATGGTCGGATATGACGGACATGTGATAAAATCGCATCAAAATACTGAAAATGCTTTCTGTTTCCTAGCAGAATATCAAAATAAACAATGTATTTGCAATTTTTTTGGCCAATTTGAAAATTTCTCCTTGTCCATCTTACCCCATGAATGTTTGAAGTTGTGAGCCCATAGAATCGTCCACGAAAGTATGATAAGACACCCCCTAGGAAAAAGGAAACAATTTTATTTTGCTTACACTTTCACACAAAATCTCAAACAAAACACCAAAAAACTCCTGGGATAGCGTGGAAGCTATCATCATGGAATTGTACATGCGAAAGAATAAATTTATACAAAAAAAAGCTTCAAGCCGAGCAGTCATCACATTGGGAGGACACAATATGTTCTCCATAAACTCCGGCACAAATATTGTGAAGCCACTTTTGGCATTTCTGGCACTGAATCCATCCCTCGTCCTCTTCGTCGTCAAAATAATTGCCGTTGCAGACAGCACAGAGGTTACTCAAACAATTTCTTTCTTGTCGTTCATTCTTACGTTTATTTTCTTTTTTCCTCCTAGAAGCTGCAACTTTCTTAGACGAGCTAGATGAAATTATTTCTAGATGGCATTGTTTTTGCGAGAGCTGACAGTTCGGCTACATATTTCTCACTAGTTAATACTCTAACTCCTGTCTGAATGGCTTTCTTCCTTCGCTTCTTGGCTCTCTGAGTGGCCACTGGAAGAGGCAAAATATCTTCAAATGATTCATCTGATAAACTGGTGCTATCAGGTTCCCTGCTATTTTCCTGCCTCAAAGAATCACGGACTTTCTCGGAAGCTAACTGAACTCCTGATGAAGTTCTACTTAAATTTGGTAGAGCAGCATGGTTCACCTGTGACACTTTCTACCTCTGTCGTGGTGTTAACCTCATGAGATGGTACGTCGTAGTCTCTATTCGTTATATTATCTGACTCACCAGATCTCACTATTGCTGTTGTCTGAGAAGCATGCTCTGGAATCTGCTCAATATCAAGTGGATACAGGCCGGTAGCACGGAAAGATGTTACTGCGTTGCCGACTGTGGCAATTTTGTAATAAGCCTTGCTGAAGAGTGCAGGGAAATCAATTCTGGATATCCCTGCTCCGGGGTTGTTTCGGTGATGAACTCGAACTGCTTCTTTGAAATGATCCTTTAGTGGTTTAAAATGTACTTTGTCCAGAGGTTGTAAATAGTGACTCGTATGAGGCGGCATACTGACTATCTCAACATTGTGGCTTCTAGCATATTCCAAGACTTCAAGGCTGTGAGTGTGGGAGTGATGCCCATCCACTACAAGAAGTGTTTTACCGCAGTCACTTCTCTTGCTTGTGCAAAAATGTTCCATCCACGCAAGGAATAAATCTTTATTTATGTATCCGGATTCACTGTACTTCACTATTGAACCAGCAGGTAAGCCACGATCCAGTGCTGGGTTCACTCTCTTTCCTTTATATATAACCATTGGAGGGATATAATCTCCAATAGCATTCACACCCACAACGATAGTTTGAGACAGCCCACGCTCTCCGGCGGTTATTTGGCTTGATGACTTAGATCCCTTTTCTCAAACAATATTTTTGACACCAGGAACGAGGCTAAGGCCAGTTTCATCAACGTTATAAATTTTGCTGGGCTGATCGAAAAGACAGAGGTCATTCATGACACTTTCTAACATGTCAAAATACCTTTGAACGATCGGTTTGTTCAGGTGGATTGCTCTCTGAATAGAAAGTGGCTGAGGTTTTCTTATTGTTATAATATCATTGTGCCGAGTTCTGAAGCCGGCCCACCAATCTTTACCGGCCATTTCCAGAGACTTTGAAAAGTTGTTTTTGATTCCATTGCGTATAGCAAACTCGTAAGCCAATTGCCTTATGTCCTTTACTGTTAGTGGAAATCCTCTCCTCTCGAAATCCAGAATATGCTTAACAAGATTTTCTTCTGTATTTCTTGGAAGTATAGAACTAGGACCAAGATGTTTTGATGCCACCATCTTCTTGACCGAGCTGAACACATGCCTCCGTAGAGTTGTTCTGGGAACGCTATGAGTACGTGCTGCACTCTTCAATCCCTCCCTTTTTGGACAGCTTCCACTGCCATTCTCATGTCAGATTCTGACCAGGAGCCTCTGTTTGATATTCTTTGGTATTTTCTTGGCATTCTTTTAGATTTCCTTCTCCATGCATCCAAAACTTGCATCTGGAAAAAACATGACAGTACATTGGGGTAAGATGGCCACCTCCCATAATTTGATAAGATTATTGAAATTCTCCCAAAAGTGTTTTGACAAGTAAAAGCAATTACAAAATAAAAGAGAAGACTTTCAATATTATCACAAAGAAGGGCTTGAATCAGATTGAATAAAAACCAAAAAACGCAAAAAAATTATTACCCCATAACCCCCCTTTTCATGATCACTTGCTGAGGGCTGTAGTTAGTTGCTAGCTGGCACCAGTCGCACAGTTAGTCCTAAATCATACACTTACCAACAAAGCGCGATTCCGAGTTCCTTGCCTGAAAATGAGCATATAGTGCTTCATAGAAAAACGTGTGCTTGCTAAATGCCCCTTTTTCACCCTTCAAAAATCACAAGCCACGTGGAAAGATACACAACTGACAAACCACGCCAAGCGCCCAACCGAAATGGCTAGAACGAATTCTCTCCTTAGCAACGAACTCACCAATGGCATTTGCACAATCAAGCCTCATAAGATGTCACAAGATAGGTCAATTTGAAAAAGAGTCCATCTAACCCCGTGTGTCTATCTTCCCCCGCCCTACTAATATATTAGTAACTCAACCATGCAGAATAGTTTTGAATGATATTTTCCCGAGATATATACTTCAAGCACTTTGATAAAGTTAATTAGAAATCTTTTTCATTGTAAACTGGAGGATGTTCCAGAAGCAATTCAAGAAGGATTTATAAATTAACAAAACTTATGCAAAGAATGAATTTTATACCTCGGTTAAAATGCAGTCATATATATATTATATATATATATAAATATATATCAGAATACATGCATACATACATACTTGCTATACACACATGCTGACATTCAAAATGTAAAAATATGCATATAAATATATATATTTTTATTGTGATTATTTCTATTATAAAACAATGAATTGTGCTAGGAATTTGCATTTCTTTGTTATATCAGGAAACAGCAATTTAACATATGTCAGTATTGTATAGTTTAGCCATCACCAGATTCGTAGAAAATAATTTTATTAATACGCATTGTCCAGCTTTTTATTTTTATTTCAGTTAAACAAGTATACAGACGACAGATTAGTTCCGTCAAATCCTTAACATCAACAATACGATCGGTTTGGACGATGTCATGCGAATCACACCACAATATAAAATCAGAATAGTCCACTTGGTTTGTCGTGCAATGGAGTTTTAAAACTACTAAACTATGTTTGTAATAATCTTATCTTTTGCGCTATATCGATTATCAATGACAATGTTTATTTACATAGCATTTCGTGTCTTGACAAACATGACGTTACTAACAAAGTCGAACAATGAAAATGTGATGAAATATCAAAATTTCAGATAGATATTTGGGATATTGATATTTTACACGAGGAACGAAGGAGCTAGTATAGAATACTCAAGACCAAATGTTCAACAAATTCGGGCATCCTAGTAAAGAGAAACGCATGTCGTCATGTATTGAGGCTAAATGTTGCCACACGCAACGTTGAATTTTAATGGCAAAAACTCGGGTCAACACCCTAGTTACCAGTATATTGTTTGTGTTTGTTATGATGGATAAAACATGCAACTGGGAAACAAACCACGAAGTATCTGACATTTGGGCAAAAAGCCAAAAAAATTACCACAAGTTGACGCATATGGAAAATACACTTTTTTTGGATATGTTTCAAAAATCTAGCATAAGTAAAAACGATTTACATCTATATTTATTAATTCTATTACTGTATGTAAATACTTCATTAATTCTTAAATGACGTTATATCATTTTTTGAATGCTAAACTGTATTTTATTACCATTAAATTACAAGTCAGTCGTGAAACCATACAATACAGAGAAATATTCATTCAACCCCGACAGAAAACTTATTATATTATATTTTGCAACAATTTTCTATTATGAAGAAATATCTATGTCAAGGCAAACATTAGTCATTTTCTAATAACACACTCTATATATAACTATACAGGTACGTGACATTCACTGATGAATAGATCAAAATTTAAGCCCCCAATATTACTAGAAAACTATAATTGAGATAAAAAAAAAATAGCATTTTGCGTCAGACAGTCTTTAAATGTTGTGACAAGGCAATTAATATTTCATCGTGGTTGGTTGTTTGTGTTATAGACAATATGTCAGTCGATAATGTGTTTTTTACAGAATATTGGAATGAAAGCATTTTGAAACATAACGTGTATTGAAATACAGTGCTAATTACATTAAACCAAATCGTGAAAGTGACATTTCTGATTGTAATATAACATTGACCAGGCAAAAATTGTGAACAATAAATAAATTTTAAATTGATGAAACCATAAGGTTGTAATACAACACCAAACTTAACGATTGGCCTCTATTAAACACAGCAGAAGATCCCGTAATTGTACGATTGTACATATTGTTGAATTGTACATATATACGATATATATACATAAAATTCTTTAGTTTGAGGCAAACAACGCTTACTGAATGTTCGCTCCGATATTATTAAGTCTTGAATACTAACGTGGTGTAACCGTAAACCAGGGCATCCCAAACAATGGGGCCGCGACCCCGCAAAGAGTCGAGAAACGAAATTTAGGGGCCGCAAAGAGAGCACTAATTTTACACAAGTACTTCATCTATTATACTTTTTTGGACTCTCGATTCTAGTGTAAAACAAAAATCTCACGATTCTGAGTGAATAAATCAACATATCGTGTTTCCCCAAAAAATGAGACAGTGTCTTTAATTATATTTATCGCAAAAAAAAAATTACAAACTAGAGAATTACGAGATTTTTGAATATACAAAATATGAAAACCGATTTCCATTTATAAATAACACGTTTTTATTTAAAATAACTTCTAAACATAGATTATTAATCATTTAACACGAGTAGGAAAGATTTCTTGTTATCGACTAGATCAGTGATTCCCAACCACCGGTCCGCGGACCGCTGCCGGTCCGCGAAGCTTTTTTGCCGGTCCGCGAAAAATTTCGTTGTTTTGTTGTTTTTATGTTGCGCGGTCTCACGCGACATTTTGGCGCCGATCATTCACACTTTTCGCTTTTTCGGCTCCGATTCATCGCGAATGCGCTCCATCAAATCTCGCAAAATTAAGAAGCCTAAAAATCGGCTCGCGTGCTTTTTCTGTTCTGCGTGCCTTTCCTGATTAATATGACCATCCATATAAAACGTAATGCATATCTCCTTGTTTAAACCAGAAAACTGTCAAGAACAGTATAATATTCCAGTAAGATATGAACTTGTTGCGACCCCACAGGTGGTCGAACCGCGCAAAAAGCATGGGCCGCAGAGATTTTTTCCAGACACAGTAAGATTTTGAGCCTGTTGCCAAGTTATCGACAACTTTGTCATTGTAATGTAAATTCATTTCGTTTGAGGCGTCGATCAACTGCAGAGGGATTAATATGGTGGACCCAATGAAAAAGAAATGGCTTGATTAAAATGGCGATTCTACTTTACAGTCCAGATTAAAAAAACAATTACTTATCACAATTTTTTAGATGATTCCGAATACCCATCGCCTAGTAACCGACCAATCAAACTGTTGTCCGTCTTTTCAGCCAGTTACTGCGTTACGCGAAAAAACATTTTCACTAGAATTATCACTAGATTCAATTAAAACAAAGCAAAGAAATTGGCTGCACGCGGCTGCAGAGCTGCGTGTTGCAAAAACTTCTTTGAGGCCTCGTTTGCAATTTTACAATGGAAACGAAACAGCAGCAAAATTCTCACAGGAGTTTATTGTGAGTGTTTTGAATGTGAGATTTTTTATGCGTGCTTTTCTAACGCATAATGGGTGCCCAGCACTGCATTTCATTACGCAAATATATGGTATTATTTTATGCTCCACCCATTTTTAATTTTTGGTCGGTACATTATTTGATAGTTTTTCTCCGTGTGAAATGTTTTTCAGTGTGCTTTTTCGTCTAGAAGCATATTGAGTGCCCGACATTGCATTATATTACGCAAATATATATATGTTATTCTTTTTTGTTTCGGCCATTTCGATTTTTTGCCGGTCCGCGAGTACATTCAATCTGATTTTACCGGTCCGCCAGGGTAGAAAGGTTGGGAACCGCTGGACTAGATAACAAAAAAATTCCAATTTTATGGGAAGTGATTTATAATGTTATGATGTTATGGGATTATAATGTTCACGACCACGCTCAAAAATCTGTCTGAGTGAGTGTGTCTGAGCGGATGCGAAAATGGGCATTG